TCAGGTATTGTGGTCACAGGATTAGAGTTTTCCTGGAGAAATGGCTGAATCCAGATCTGGGTCAGAAAACGTCCAAGAAGAGTCTGATAAGGAAGCCCTCAAAAACTAGTGTGGTCATGTCAGAAGGACAAAGAGGGACATGAAGGGGCCCCCAGTGTCCTAAGATGGGACAACACATGTGTTAAAATGAATAATGACTGAAATGGTGTAAAACACATATACGAATAAAATGCAGTTCATAACGACCCACGTACAGAGAGACCTCTGTGATCACCAATGGTCTGAATGTTAGTTTTAAAAGAAAAAGACTTTATCCTGTCTTTCCTTTGAAGGTTGATGTGGGACAAATGGTTGATGTGGGACAGCTCATCACTACTTAGATCCAATGATCATTCCTGGCGTCTCTCAAGGTGGGACTACAGCTATTGGGTGCCTCCTGTATGATGCACTAGGAAGCACACGGCACCACCTATGAAGTTCTCTTCCTATCAGATGACCCATGCCATCTCATAACACAAGAGCCCCACCCTAGTGGTTACCCAATAGTAACCAGTTGACTTGTAAAAATATTGAAAATCCTTCAAAGACTTCCATACCACTGCCAAGGACTCCTAGTAGAGAGACCCTGGCTTTACTTTCAAAATTTCATGAGAAAATTTAGAGCCACTACTCAACCATTTCCCTACAAACCACATGCGCCCGTCAGTAAATTGGGGTAGTGGGTTTCTTTTCTGGAATCAAATGTGCAAAGGTCATACTAAGGTCACTCCTATTTCCTCTTTCATAGCTTCCATGAAAGGAAGAAAAGCTCCTGGTAGTGTGCATCATTCTCTCTGTTTTTAAAAGAAGGGGAAAGCCAGAGATGAGGGAAATTCCTAAAGCACACTTTTGATATCCTTTCATTCCTCAGCCTACTGCAAGCATATTTGAAAATCTCTAAATCCTCCTTAACCTGGCCTAGAAGGGAAGAGGTAAGATTCTCCTGGGAAAAAATCAGAAGTACCAGGCAGCAAGTTTGAAAGAATCAAGAAAACGTCCAATGAGTTGCTAATGAAACTGGAAACATCTTCTTCAGTATGAAGCTCAGCACCCCTATTGGCTTCCACTTAGACAGGAACTTCAGTGCAGTTATCAAATCTGCAGCCATTAAAAAGGACATCACTGTCGCCCTGTGGTGGTGGTAGGAGGGCACGGTGTTGTGGAGGAAGGCAGGTTCAGCCTCATGCAAAGGCAGAGGGGTGAGCACGGTGACCTGGAAAGGTCCCTCTCATCCAAAGGCACTCTCAAAATACTCCCAAACACCCAGCTGAGAAGCCACAGCATCATCTTCCCTCTCCTTCCCCATCCAAGCAATCCCAAAATACGGTCAATTCCACTCTCTAAGACCTCTCAAATCCCTCCACCTCTCTCCACCCACAGGGCGTCTACCATTATTAAGGTCCCCATCATTTCTCTCCTGCCTCCAGTCATGTCCAACCTTTCCACATACCACAGCTAAAGAGGAGATCTGATTTCACCTCTTTACTAAAAGATCTCCAGTGTTACCAAAATATCTTTGGGACATAGCCTAAATGTCATAGCACAGCTTACAAAGCCCTTCAGGATATGGCCCCTGTTTCCTCCTTCACGTTGTTCTGTCTTAATCTTTTCTCATTGTCTGTCTGTCTGTCTATCTGTCTGTCTGTCTGTCTGTCTCCATATCTCTCAACACATACACACTTTTGCAAGACCGAGCTACTAGCAGTTCCCAAAACCCCATGCTTTCTCTTGCCTTGGCACATGCTACCCCCTACCTGACTGATCCCCTTCACTCTCTTCAGTTTGTTCTTCCACCTTCAGCATGCACATCCCCCATATCTCTCAACACATACACACTTTTGCAAGACTGAGCTACTAGCAGTTCCCAAAACCCCATGCTTTCTCTTGCCTTGGCACATGCTACCCGCTACCTGACTGATCCCCTTCACTCTCTTCAGTTTGTTCTTCCACCTTCAGCATGCACATCCCTTCCTCTAATAAGTGTTCACTGGCCTTCCTCCTACCTGCCCCCATCCCCATCCACACTGCCATTCATGGATATGCTTCTCTATCATTGCACTGACTACACTGTATTGTAGCTGCCTGGTCTCCATCTCCCCCACCAGGCTATAAGCACTGGAAATGCTGAGAACATGTCTTTTTTCTTAATCATCGTATTCCCAGACATAGTATACAGGAGCTTCTCAGTCTGTTGTTAGAGTAATGAGCGTGGATGAACTCACAACTTTACAAGTTTGGCACTGAAGATAGTACTAAGTCCTCTAATTCCTTTGCCTGTAGTTAGAATGGGCTGAACAGTGTCACTTTCAGTAACCATGGCACTACACCTCCTGATGGCTTCCTGCTAGAATCCAGGTGGTCAGCCTGTTCCCGTTCATTACCCCAGACGCCATGAGGGCAACCTGAGGTCTCCCATGCCACACTCACCTGGGTGAATCAGGCAGGAGTCACACTCATTCTCCTCGTTCCTGCAGCAAGGGATGGTATAACCCACGACTTCCTTCTTTCCGGGGCAGACGCATTCGATCTGATCATACTCACAACACTCCCGGCACATGATGTTCCACTCGGCTCCGGGGCAGGCTTCATTAATGACCGTGTACTCTGAAATGGAACACCAGCAGGTGAGACTCGGCCCTGCCAAGAAGTGGTAAGACCTGTAAGTACTCTTCTGTAAAGAAGCAACCTTGCTCTACCAATATGCTGCTCTACATGAATAAGAGAGAAGACCAGTATGAATTCTTGCTAGGCCAATGTCCCCAAAGTGGGGTGGCCTACCCAAAGCGGTACTCTAAAACATTCATCAGAGCACAGATGAAACTTGTTATAACTGCTATTCATTTTTATTTTTATCTTTTTTAAAAAAGAAATCATGTTCATCAGATATATAATCTAAATGGATTGACAGTAGAACGTGTATATAATTTATATACAAGTATGCATCTCTTGGGTATCTACGCTCTTGTCTATTTTGTTGGGATATATCAGACCACTGCTTACAGCTGCATAGGTTGTGTACTACACAACTCCAGGGGGAACCATTCAACTGCACAACTATATGCTTAGGTTGTGCTCAACCTAAGCATGTGGGCCATCAAAAAAAAATTGTAGACCACTCTCTAGAGTAGGCCATTCAAGTTCAAGGCTGATTGCCAAGTACACACTATGCCATCTCTCCCAAACTTGGCTCCTCAATTTCACAGCATGCCATTTTCATAGTATCTTCAAAGTAAAACCGACAGAAAAGACAAAAAGTACCTTAATTAGTATGTTTGTGAGAATTTCAATGTTTTAAAAGGGTGAACTCATTAGCCCAACTTCATTCAGTCCCCAAGTATAACTGAGTGTTCTTTCCCATGAGAAAAAAGTATCCCTTGCTTGGTAGGATTTTTTTTCTTTCTTTTCTTCTTTTTAAAATATATATACCTTAAATAAAAAGGAAAACCATCTGGCAAAATCTATAAGAGGAATCAGTCACAGGTTGCCAGACAAACTCAGGCTAAGAAACAGACTAGTTTTGATTTCCTCTTCTTTTTTCCCATTTTCTATTTCTAAAAATTTGGCACAAAGACAACAATTAAAGCAGAAACAGGTGAGATATTGGAGGAAGAAAGTGAATCTGGACAATGTCCCCATGAAGCCTTCCCTAGAAACTCTAGGCAGGGATCCCCAACATGCTCTGTAGTCCCACATAAACCAAACTTAGCATCTGTAGTGCCTTCTAAACTTGTGAATTTCATAGTTTAGTTTTACATTTTCCTCCTCCAAATTTGGAAGTCTGACGCAAGGTTGGTCACTCTTAATTTGCCAAGTAGAGCCATTTAAAGAAACTAATGCCATCTACTCTTAGCCTCAGGCCATAAGAACATTCCTTCATAGAAAGGAACCACTTGCATAATAAGAGACAGTTCCTTAAATTGAATAAATTTAGTTTTATGAAAAATTTACTTTTTTTCATTATTTTTCCACAAACATTGATGGACCAGAAAAGATCCTCACACTGGCATTTGGGAACAATTGGCATAGATCATCATAGCACTGTCACTACTAAGGTTTTGGGAGCCCCTTCAGGGTGACCGCCACAACTTTCTTTGCTGAGTTTCCCATGTTTCTCATGTTAGTTGATGAAATGAATGACTTCTTAAATCTACATGAGAACTTGATGGTTAAAAGTGAGGGAAAGCAGAAGAAAACATAGGGGTACATAAATCTCCAGGATCTGGGATTTGGCAATGGATTCTTAGATATGACACCAAAAACATGAGCAACAGAAGAAAATAGATAAGTTGGACTTCATCAAAATTTAAAACTTTTGTGCATCAGAGGACATTATTAAGAAAATGGGAAAAAAAAAACACAAAATGGGAGAAAATATTTGCAAGTCATATATCTGATAAGGGTTTAATATCCAGAACATGTAAAACATTTCTACAACTCAACCATAAAAAGACAAAAAAAAAAATTAATGGGCAAATGACTTGAATAGGCATTTCTCCAAAGAAGATATATCAGTGGCTAATAAGCACATGAAACATGCTCAATGTCACAAGTCATTTGGGAAATGCAAATCAAAACCACAATGAGATACCACTTACTAGCATGGCTGTAATCCAAACCAAAAAAGAAAAAGAAAAACAAGTGTTGGCAAAGATGTAGAGAAACTGGAACCTTCATGCATTGCTGACAGAATGTAAAATGGTGCAGTCACTATGGAAAACAGTTTGGCACTTCCTCTAAAAGTTAAACACAGAATTACCATATGACCCAGCCCTTCCCACTAGGTATATATCTAAAAAACTGAAAACATGAACTCAATGATACTTATATGCTAATGTTCATTCACAACAGCCAAAAAAACAACCCAAGTGTCCATCAAGGGATGAATGGATAAGCAAAATGAGGTGTTTGTGTACTATGGAATAGTATTCAGCTATGAAAAGGAATGAAGTGCTGATACACACTACAACATGGATGAACCTTGCAAACATCATGCCTAGTGAAAGACGCCAGACACAAAAATACAACTGTTATCTGATTCTACGCATATGAAACATCTATAACAGGAAAATTCACAGAGACAGAAAGTACGTTAGAGGTTACCAGGGGCTGGGGGAAAGGGTGAAGGGGAGTTATTGTTTAATGGTTACAGAGTTTCTGTTGGAGGTGATAAAAAAAAAGTTTTGGAAATAGATGAGATGGCTGCACAACAATGTGAATTAATTACATTTGTAATTAATAACAATGAATTGTATACTTACAATGATTAAAATGGCAAATTTTATGTTATATATAATTATCTATACACCCACAATTTATTAAATATTAAAAAGTAGGGTGGGGGAGTGAGAGAAAGCAAAATGGTTAAAGGCTGAAGCACTGGAGTCGGACATACGTGGGTTTGGAATCGCACCCTTTCTACTTAATAGCTAAGTTACTTTACTCTCTCAGCCTCAGTTTACTATCCAGTAA